AGTCGAGTCATCTTTTTAATATAATAATAAATATGTAATTAATATTTTTTTATTCAAATAAGTAATTAACAAAAAAAAGGAAGATAAATCATATATATCATAAAGATTAAAAATATTTTATTCATTGAAATAATAATAATAATTGTAATTGTAAAAGATTGTTATGATAATGGTAAAAAGATAGGAGAAAAGATAATACAAGAATGATTTCACTATGAAATAAAAAAAATACAAAAGATAACAATTTCAAATAATTCTCTCAATCTCTAAAAAAACTTGTACACAAACTGATTAATAATCAAGCTTATTTATAGGCTTTAAAATTAGAAAGATAATTGAAAGAGACTATTAACAATTAAAAAGGACATAAATTATTGAATTAATTGCATCACCTTTTTAATTTCTCATATTGAATGGTGAATTGAATCACATTAAGAATTATAAGTAGATTAGTAGAGAGATGAAAAATATATGAATATTCATATGAACATTCATTATTTCCCGACACTCTTTCTTAAATGTCTATTGTATAAAGAACATGCCTCGTTAAAACCTTATTAGGAAAAAAATCCAAGTGGAAAAAAATTCTAATGAAGGAAAAAGAGTACAATATCTCTTGTACACATCAATTTCTATATTGGGCTCCCTTGTTGAAAATATTATTTAAGATCTCTAAGATGACGTCTTCTAATTTTGTGAATTATTTTCTCAAAAGTTGATGTAGTTAATGCCCTATTGAATAAATCTATTGGATTGCCACTTGATCAAATTTTTTGAACATTAATATCATGATTTCATTGAAAATCACTTGTAAAAAATAATTTTGATGATATATATATTATTCTATCACTTTTGATATATTATTCTTTTAATTGAGCTATGCAAGTAGTATTATCTTTATACAATATTGTTGAAACTTCTTTACTAGTGCATAAACCACATATCTCTAAAATATAATGGGTCATCATATGTTATATTGTTGAAAATTACATTAGGTAGAAAATATGTACTTGAAAAAATTATCGGCTTTTTCTTCGTATTTATTACACAAATATTCAAATGATTGAAATAAATGTCATAGTAAATCATAAGTTTATTGATTTTTTTATTCGTGGTATGATCGGTTAGACCATCCTAGATTCATTATGATGTAAAAAATTATTGAAAATTCATATGGACATCCATTAACAAACCGGAAGATTCCTCAATCTAATGAGTTTTCATGCCCTCCAAGTTCTTAAGGTAAACTTATTATTAAGTTATCACCAAATAAAATTGGGATTGACTCTCCAAGCATTGTTAGAATGTATTCAAGGTGATATATATGAATCAATTCATCTACTATGTGTACCATTTAGATATTTTATGATTTTAATAGATGCATCTATAAGATGGTCATATGTATGCTTATTATCAACTTGAAACATGACATTTTCGAGGTTACTTGCTCAAATAATTCAATTACGAACACAATTTTCAGATTATACTATTAAAATAATTTATTTTGACAATGCTATTGAATTTACCTCTCAAGCATTTAATGATTATTGCATGTCTATTGAAACATGGCATTTTTTAGGTTACTTACTCAAATAATTCGATTACGAACATAATTTTCAGATTATACTATTAAAACAAATTACTTTAACAATGTCGATGAATTTACCTCTCAAGCATTTAATAATTATTGCGTGTCTATTGGAATAAAGGTTGAACAACTTGTTGGTCGTATTCATACTCATAATAGTTTAGCAGAATCATTTATCAAAAGCCTCCAATTGATAGCTAGACCATTACTTATGAAACCAAAACTCCCTATTTATATTAAAAGATATGTAATTTTACATGCAAAAATACTTATTCACATCGGGACCATAAGTTATCAAAAATTCTCTCCTCTTTAATTAGTTTCTGGTTATGAGCCTAATATTTCTCATTTAAGGATTTTTGGATATGCAATATATGCCTCAATTACTCCTCCATAATGAACTAAAATGGATCCTCGGAGGAGATTAGAAATACATATTGGACAATAAGGTCCTTCTATAATTATATATCTTGAACCATTAACGAGATAATATTTTCACGACTCGATTTGCCAATTGTCATTTTGATGAAACAATTTTTCATGTATCGAGGAGAGAGAATAAATAGTTAAAAATGTTGAAAAAAGAAATTACATGAAATATTTCATCTTTATATCATCTTGATCCTCACATAAAACAATGTAAACTTGAAGTTCAAAGGATGATTCATTTACAAAGTCTTACAAACCAACTGCGAGATGTATTCTCCGATCCAAAGAGAGCAACTAAATCACATATTCCTACTAAGAATTCTTCTATTAGAATCGATGTCCTAGTAGGAAAACCTATTAATGTTATAAAAAATAAATCTAAAGTATGTCCGAAGCGTGGAAGACCAATCGGTTCTAAAGATAAAAATCCTCAAAAGAAAAAAAGGAAAATAATCAAGATGAAAATATAAAGGAGGTAGATAAAATGATTCAAGATATTTTTGATAATAGGTTTCTAGAAGAAGCCGAAATGCTTTTAAAAAATCAAAAAATTTCGATAAATTATGTTAATATAGGGAGAAAATGGGATCAAAAAGAAGCATTTGTTGATAATATTTTTCATATAATGTTGCAATTGATATTTTGAATAAAGATCTTGAGCCTAAATCTATTAAATAATGTCGATATATAGATGATTGACTTAAATGAAAAGATGCAATCTTGGAAGAATTAAAGTCTCTCACGAAATAAGAAGTTTTTGGACCCATAATCAAAACACTCGACGATGTTAAGCCGGTAGAATACAAATGAGTATTTATGTGAAAATAAAATAAAAAAGATAAAATTGTGAGATACGGAGCAAGACTTGTAGCACAAGGATTTTCACAAAGACCAAGCATTGATTATGAGGAGACATATTTTCTTGTAATGGATACAATTACATTCTCGTTATTTTATTAGCTTGGCAACACATAAAAAACTTCATATGCATTTAATGGATGTGATCACAGTCTATTTATATGATTTATTTGATAATGATATCTATATAAAAGTCTTAGAAGAACTTAAAATGCCTAAAGCATGTAAAATATATTCTCGAGAGATGTATTCAATTAAATTACAAAGATCTTTATATGGATTGAAACAATCTGGATGCATGTGGTATAGTTATCTTAGTGAGTATTTGTTGAAAAAAGGTTATAGAAATAAAACAATTTGCCTATGTGTCTTTATAAAGAAATTTGAAAAGAGGTTTGCGATAATTGTTATACATGTTGATGATTTAAATATAATTGGAACTCCCGAAGAGATTCTAAGTGCCATAAGTTATTTACAAGAGAATTTGATATGAATTGGAAAAACAAAATTTTATCTTGGCCTCTAGTTCGAACACTTAAAAGATGGAATTTTTATTCATCAATCAGCATATACAAAAAAAGTACTATAATGGTTCTATATGGATAATGCTAATCCATTTGACTTGTGCAATGGTAGTTCTTTCAATTGATGTCCAAAAGGATCCTTTTTGGCTTGAAGAAGATAATGAAGAACTTCTTAGTCCTAAAGTATCATACCTTAGTATAATTAGTGCATTAATGTATCTTACTAATAATACCCGACTTGATATAGCATTTTCTATAAATTTATTAGTAAGATATAGTTCTACTCCAATACAAAAATATTAGAATGGAATTAAACATATACTATGTTATATCCAAAAAATAATTGATATCGACTTATATTACTCCAATAAATCAAAAACAGATTAATTAGTCATGCGGATGCGGGTTATTTATCTGATCCACATAAAGCTCAATCACAAACTAGTTATGTATTTACATATAGAGATACAACGATATCATGACGTTCTATAAAGCAAACTAGAAGTCGTCACATCTTCAAACTATGCAAAAATGCTAGCAATTCAGGAGGAAAGTTAAGAATATATTTGGTTAAGATCAATGACCCATCATATTTGAGAGACATGCAATTTATCCACTAGCAAGGAAGTTCCAACAATATTACATGAAGATGGTACTACTTGTATAGCTCAATTAAAAGAAAGATACATCAAAGGTGACAAAATGAAATATATATCATCAAAATTATTTTTCACATATGATCTTCAATGGAATGATGATTTTAATGTTCAACAATTCGATCAAGTGGTAATCCAGGAGATTTGTTCACTAAAGCATTACCTACCACAACTATTGAGAAGATGATTCACAAGATTGGAATGCGTCATTTTAGAAATCTTAAATAATCTTTTCAACATGGGAGGTTAATATAGGGATTAATATGTACAATGAATATTATATTTTTTTCCTATTAGAATTTTTTCTAGTAAGGTTTTAACAAGATATGTTTCTTATATAATGGACATTCAAGGGAGAGTGTTATGAAATAATGAATATTCATATGAATGTTCATATGCTTTTCATATTCTAACTACTCATAATTCTTAATATGATTCAATTTATTATTCAATATGAAAAATTGAAACAAATATGAGAACTTGAAACGGTGATGTAATTAATTCAATAATTTATGTTCCTTTGTTATTCATGGTTTTTTTCAATTTTTTTCTCAATTTTGAAGTCTATAAATATGCTTGATTGTTCATTAGTTTATACACAAGTATTTTGTAGATATTAAAAGAATTATTTGGAACTACTATTTTTTACATTCACTGTATTTAATAGTGAATTTATTTTTCTAATATATTTTTTTACAATTCTACTATTATTGATATTTCTTTTATAACATTCTTAAATTTATTTGATTCATTTATTTAATGCATAAGATTTAACTGAGAAAATAATCTCAAGACAAAAAAAGTTGGAATGACCGAAAAAAAGAGGAAAGTGATTTATCAGTTATGGAACACGTCGTTGACCGTTAAAAGTCGTTTCGGCTGGTCATATAGATTTGCCAGGGCCCTTGCAGAGTCTTTTAGGGCACAAGCACAAGGCCAGAGAGAATGGCAGCCTCAGATACTAAAACCAACCTTGAAGATGTCCTCGAACCCTTCTACCAAAGAGCTTCTGAAGCTGAGGTTTGATTTCCCAATTCATATCTAAAGCAAAGTTCATGTCTTTCTTTGAATTTACATGTGATTTTTTGCATGTCTTTCTTCATCTATTTGCTTTGTTGTGGAGTTCTTGGGGTTTACGGGGACTTTCTTGATGTGGGTTATGTGTGTGTGTGTGTGTGTGTGTCAGTGCGGTTTATAAAGTTAGGATTTTCTTTTGTCTTTAATAGTGGGGTTTTGTAAAAATTAGAGAAGATAAGCTTTTTAGTTCGTAAAGTTCGGAGTTTGGTTTTTGGGGTTTAATAGGTGGGGTTGGCGAGGAAGATAGGTCTCAAAATTTGGGTTTTGTTTTGACTGGAATTATCAATAGGAATGTGCCTTTTTTGAGTGATTGTTTGCACAAAAATGCAGTTTCTTTTGACTTCTGTTCAATTGCTGTGAAATATTGGAGAGGAGAAACCAAACCAAAATTTTGAATCTCTGTGTGAATGTTTTTTTGTTCCAAGAAATGGAATTGAAATCAAAACATTAATTTGTTTACGAAGCTTTTGAGAAAGAAGACTCTAGGCCTGTGTTTTATGTTTGTGAATTGCTGGGTTTTAGATACTCCACATGTAACAGCTTTTGATTTCTTTATTCAATGAAATGAAAGCATATTTCGTTATGTTAATGCCTCTTCTTTTAATCTGCCCGGTTAGACAAGCATGTGATTTGCATTTATCTAATTGGGATTTGATTAAATATGGCAGTGTTAACTATGAACGCATTACGGCAGTGATTAATGCTGAATCCTATTCTTTGTTTAATTGTGAGGCATTTACTTCTGCAGCATTGTATAGTTTGCAGCCTTTGATTGAAACAGCAAGTTTGGTACCCAAATATCACTTTGATGATAAGCTTCTCGGTTTCACTTATGAAAGAATATAGTCAGAGTACCCAGTTAGCCAGGTCTTAGAAACGATTCAAACAATGAAAGTTAGGGTTATCCCCTCTCGTCTGGTAGGGGTTGGCAGCCCATCACTCCCACCTTCAACTTGGAAAATAATGTTAGACTTTGCCAGGCTAAAAATATATCATGCTGGCGAGGGCCACATGAACTTTGAAATTTTGTGAGAGCTGATTAGTATGCAGGCCAGGGTGCTGAAAATGCATTTCTCTGGGTGATGTAGTTATTGATTTTGGTTCGAACATTCTCTTGTTTCATTTATATTCATCTTCTTGTTTTTTTTTCTTTTTCTTTCTTTTTTGGATCTAGTGTTCAAGACCATTTATCTTCTTTTCATCTAGGAGTTCTGTATAATTTAACATTATGATCGCTGAGTTGTCATCAACCTGTAGCTTTTCCTGAATGATCACCAGTAACAAACACTCGCCATTTTTCCTATTGCATTTGTGTGTATAAAGGATCGGCTGTCAAGACTAGAAGCTGCTGTTGCAAGTAATAGCGGTAAATCCTAAAGCAACTTAAACTAGTGTTTATTAGCTGAAAACCGAATTTCCTGCTTTGCTAACAAAACTATGCAAATCTCTTAGATGCTGGGGGTGAGGAACATTTAAAAACAATAATCGAACTTCAGGCAAAGCTAGAGCGTGCAAATGCAGAGCTAGCTTCAGAGCGAGAAAAGGTAACTCGCATTTTTAGATTGTTAGTTTTTCATCTGAAATGAGCTACGTTATCTTCACCTTTTGATTTTCAGACTAAAAAGCTTGCTGTGGAAAACGGAAAGTTCCAGTATCGTATTATTCATCTTGTCCAGGCAATCAGGGAGGGTGATGCTAAGTTGGAGAGCATAAAAGGTAAAATTTCTGAAGGGCTTCTTTATCCTAGGATACAATTTCACTATGCCCTCGGTATTTGAAATTTAATTCATGCATCAGCCATTTAACACCATCTATAGTTACAACCCCTTCTTTTATGACTACTCCAGTTTTTGACAACTGGGTGCTAAGACTTCAGTTTAAGCTAGTTTACACATCGTGTATGTTTATTTTGACATTACTCCATCAAATCTTTTTGTTTTCTCCAGGCGGTTCAGAAACAAGTGCAGAGGCCATGGCCTTATTGAAATCGGAGAATATACGATTATGAACCGAGAGAATATGTGAAACTTTGCTATCAGATATTCGGATGGCAACTTTGTGCTATCCACAATTGGACAATGTCAACGTGCTATAAATTGAAACCTTCTAGTTTGTAGTGAAACTGATCCATCTAATTTTGCATGTATGGGGATGCTCGTTATAAGTTATTCTTGTGACTTAACTTCCATATTTTTGTTTAATAGACCTGGTAATTTTTCTCTGTTTCAAAGAAACAGAGAAAAAGCTTGTTGCCTGTTGGTATATCCTCAACCGCTTTGCAACTAAAAAAGTTATATGGTTTAACACCACTCTTGCTAGGAACACGTAGAAAAACTTAAGTATCATAACGTCATTGCTCCAATTGAATTGAATTGTATACTGTCACTAAACAGTCACAGGGGCCATCGAAATTGCGAAGATGTAAAATAAAAGCTCAAATAGCACATGAAACCCTAAACTGGACCCGAAAAAGGGGAAGGTCCTCCTTCATCTCATTTGTAAAATCTCACTTTTTCATGACTACACACGTCAATATCTCTGGTGGGCATATGTTAGGTAGTTATGGATATCGAGGTATACCTTTGGTCTATTATGCAGTAGCTCAAACCATTGGAGCAATTCAAACATGGTGAAAAGAGAAACCTACAAAAGTATGGACAAGGAATCAAACAAAAAGAAGAAAGAAGGATGGATATCTGTACAAATTGGATGCTCCTCAATGAGCAAGACGCTCTGCTATCAGTTCAAGTAGCAACTCCTTCCGAAGCTTGCTGTATTTGGTCAGTTTAAGTCGGCCTGCGATGGTCCTCAGTTCAGCTAAACGCAAGTCCCTCAAGCTGCTTATAGCAGAAGTAAATGATGGCACAACCTCAGAACTGGAATCACAGATTGAGCAAGACTCATCAACTGAAAGGTCATCCTTACTTGAACCATCAATTGTGCCCCCAAGCGAGCTAGATAAATCCATTTGAACAGATGAATCTTCAGTCCCCAAAGAGTGTGGAAAATTTACACATACCTTTTCTTCCTTCTGTGGTTCTGATACTAAATTTGCGGTGTCATCTTCTGCACCACCGTGCTCTTTAGCTTCACCCTTGTCAAGCCAAACTGCTTTCTTTGTAATCTTCCCACTCAAATACTGATTTAAACTGGCATTTTGTGGGCCAGCTCCAAATTTTCGTTTCTTATTGCTTTCTGAGATAGAAGATGAACTTGAATTAAGGATCAGTTTGGAGAAACCAATTTCATGAAGAATTGGTGTATTTGACTTGATATTCCTCTTTCCCTTCTTTTTCTGTGGATTCAAGGACAAATTCAAGATGGACCTTTTCTCATCAGCAGAAATTTCAGTCGTTTGAACTTCCACTCGTATAGGCTTTTCTTCCTCAGGTTGCAGGTTGGCTGCATTTTCCCCTTCATGATCTTGCATCTCTAAAAGCGAAGTCAAGGCACAATTTTCAGTGTCTGTCAGGTCAGTTTCTCTCAACTTCATGATTAAAGGAGTTTTCCTTTTGCCATTGGTCTTCCGAAGTGACTTCAATGAAACCATATCATGAGCTGCAGAAATCTTTGATTCTTTCACAGTTCGTTTTTGTGCTGCTTTTGGAGCAAACTCACACAACTTTTGCTCTATATCAGCGCTACTGCCTTTTGCCCGTTTAAAAGTACCTAATGCACAATCAGAATTGTGTTTCCTCCCATTCAGGCCAGCTGCACCTGCAGGCTGCACAAATGAAATTGTGTATGAGCAAAAGTAAGAGGCAGGGATGAATTGGACCTCATCATGTGACACTAGCATCTGGATGCAATATGTCCACTAATTTGGATGTGTAGACACCATAGATTTTATGTGCAATGGCAACGTATCAATGTAAACTATGAAAAAGAAAGAACTTGTACATCATCTGTTCTTGGATTATTTCTTCTGCCTTCCAGGTTTAAAGATGAACTCAAAGTTCTACTTTCGCCTATAGCTCTAGATTGGAGCTCTGTGGCTTCCTTGTTTCCAATTACTCTCAGATCAGACATTACCAAAATTTTCATCTCACTGGAGTGACTAGCTGCATTCATATTGGCACTTAGGCCAAAATCTTTATCAACAATACTTGCAGGCTGTTCATTGCAAAAGGAAAAAACCCAAAAAAAGAAAGTTAACAATCACCTGTAAGCCCCCACCCCCACCCAAAATGATGGAAAAAAAAAAAAAACCAACCAATATTCTGGCCTACTTCTAATCTGATTTTTAGTTCCATGTATAACACCTGACCTACAGATATAGCTCAATTTGCTTGAGTTCTTACCCAATCATGGCATGGTTGTGTTGTCTATCTCTAGGACAATCTAAATAATGGTCCAAAACTAAGGTGGATGTGCAAGATACTGGTACCTTGACTATTTTTCTGAGATCTGTTTTCTTCGGCATAGGCTTCGAAGAAGAACCTGAGATTACAACATCAGCTGTGGATATAGAACTGTGTTCTTCCACTTCTTTGGTTGCAATTGAATCAGAATCACCTGCTTTTTCCTCACAGGAGGGGGCAGCTGCATTTTCCGAAGCATATATAGTGGAATTACTCGCACTATTTTCTGTAGGCTGTTCAGTATCAAAGAAAACAGAGTACACATATAGATTAGCATTTATATAATATTTAACAGGAGTTGACATAATTTGCTATGAGTGTTATGTGCATCCGGATAAGTTCCACATATGGTGTTTTGGCAGAGGAGATATACAGAAGCAACTGCATGTTGGTATTGAGGTTCACGCAAGAATGATGAATGAAATGAACAATATAGGGTAATGGGAGTTTGAAGCAGCAAATAACTAATTTCTGCATTCATTTTAGAGTAAATTATGAAACCAGACAACAAGTAATCTCTTGGTGACCTAAATTCCTCTCCATGTCTGGTTCAAATTGTCATTTCCCAAATGTGTTCGTTTCCATTTAGAGAAAGTTTCTAGGTTATACTACTGAAGATGTTACGATCTACAGGTTCTAACGAGACAAGAAATATAAGAAATCCAAACTGAAACACTGAAAAAGTCATCCTTGAATTAGTTCTATAAGTTACATATATTTCCATATTCTAGCATTAAAGATATTCTGTATAATTGTTTAATAGCGGAGGAAAAAGAAAGCATTTCTATAATGTCTTCTCATATATGTCTTTTGTGCTGGTACACAGATCCTATCCGAGTATCACGTGCCTAAACTCCTAATATAGTTAATATGCTGTTATTTTTTAAGTCGTTAATAACCCTCCTGGATATGGGGAAACAAACTCATTGCACTACTTTTTTCCCAATAAGTAACCATTTGTACTTGCTCACTACCTAAAAAACAAAAGCTAAGGAATAATTTTGGGCTAAAAGTTTCTTCTTCATGTGACAATATATCGATAAACGCCAAACCTGCTCATCATCAGGTATCCACCTCTGAGCTACGAAACATGCATGCAAAAGCTAAAATTTCATCGCAATTACTGTTTATGAGTTCTAGCTATAACAAATCCTACCATTGTATTTAGAAAAGTAAATCCCATCGACTTTCTCTTATTGAAGCATTTACATTTCCTTATAGGAAAATGCTGTATAATGAATTTGTCCTAATCGAGATTTGTTTAAATCACCCAATATCAAAGAACAGAGTACAAAAAACTACCTCAACTTTAACTGGTTTTAGACTATGTCTTCCTTCGTATGCAGATTTTAAAGATGAACTTTGGATCAGTTTTTCATCTTTCGGAGTTAACTCATGCTCTCTGGCATCCCTTTTCCCAGTACTTCTTGGACAACAGAAGCTCAATGATTTCTTCTCATCGGAGCAATCAGGTGCCACTTCTGAAAACTGTTGGGTAAAGCCTTCGAAATTAGCATTCGCAGGCTGTTCATTGTTAAAAAAAGATGTCAGGATGAGACACCAAATCAGGTCATCATTGGAAGAAAATGAAGCATCCATGCAAATTATCTGTTCAGTAAGTGGAGAAAAAGAAACAGCAGTTCGTTACTTATGAATCACTTGACATTGGAAAGGAACAGTGTTATGGTTGATTGAACTTCGACTTTTATTTACTTTCAAACTCTAGTTTCTACAGAGCATAACTTCCAAGATGCAGCAACAACAAATACTTGTGTTAAGATTTGTAGAAACATGCATAATTACATGCGGCCACAAGGGAACACATGTGTGTGTGTCTGTGTGTCTGTGTGTCTGTGCTAGAGAGAGAGAGAGAGAGAGAGAGAGAGGAGGCGGGTTGAAGTTCAGGAGCATGACAAATTTAAACTGTCCAAAAGCCGAACTGCCCAATAAAGAGACATGCTATTTAAACAAAGCACATGCATGAGCAGACAGGCAATTTAATGAAGTTGAAGGCAGCTCGATGGTTGCAATGCATTGTGCCAGTCATTTTATACCCCACGAGCTTTCACATCTTTCCATCTGAATTTGCAGAACAATCATGCACATAATTAAAGCATGCGGGTTTAGAGCCTCTGGACATTAAAGACCTTTGAATTGCCTGTTTTCTTCTCTTGATGATTCAAAGATGGATTTAAAATTGCACTATGTTCTGTTGGAGTAGAACCGCAGTCCTTGGTTTTCTCACTCTTAGTTGTTTCCAAATTGCAGTTGTTTAACCTGTTCTCCTCATCCACACTGTTGGTTGCATGTTGTGTAGTAACTGAGCTGGAACCCAAGACAATGGCATCCTTATGCTGTTCATTTGGAGATACAAGAATAGAAGCTATCACATATCAGTTCACAGGAATAAAACTAGACGAATGAAAAGGAACAGTAGTAAAGGATTCTGGTAAAATATACAACCATTTGAAATTGAGCTCGTAAAAATCAGACATGAAAAGGAACCTCTCTTGATTGATGCACACACATGGACTCCATACCAAGGAATCTGATTTGATAAAATACTAAAATCTCCTACTTTCCCAAGCGACCAGAGGATGGAAAAAAATATTGCATATCAATTATTCTTGGACCTCCAAGCAGTGAAGAAACAGCAATCCATCCACGCAACAAACCAAAACCAGTGGAAGTCTCCAAAATTAGCTCAAGCATGTAAATACAGCAGGGACATGCTGCCTTATCAAATGATGGTAATTTGAAATAAATTGCTGAATGCTGAAGAATAAACTCCCGGGACATATTCATGTAAAATGCATAGGCACGTATTGATTTGTGTGTTTAGACGAATGTGAGGTTGTAAACCATTCCCTATATCGTGATTGGCAAGTTCAAGTCAGAAAATTGGCAAAATAATTGCTGAGAAATTTTTTCAAGAATCGGACCTGCTCATCTTTTTTGCCGAAGTAATTTCTGAAAAGCACCTTCAAAACTTCGTCCAATGTTTCAACAGGTTGTGTATAAATTAGTAAGCGAACCACCATATCATTCTTTTCTTTATTCCTCAAATTTTTTACTGAAATATCAAGGAAATCAATCTTTTCTCTCAGAGCATTACAGCATATATCAGACCAATCTTCATTTTCAACCCAAGCCAATTCAGTCTGTAAGGATAACAAATCTTGTTCCAGTTCAAGAATCTCTGTATCTGCCTTCTTTATCAAAACCCTCAGCACTTGCACACAGTGTTTCTCATTCAAAGCTTCTTCTTCTATCACATCTACAAATTTTTTAAACAAATCAAGAAATTTGCATGCACATATATAAACAATCAAAATGTCAAAAAGAAATTAGCATTTAGGTATGTATGTACCAAATCCATAACCAAAGTAAAAGTCACACTGGGAATTATCAACACCGCTTTCTTCTGCCACTGAAGAAGAAGAAAAAATCATCAAAGTCAACATTAGAAATCAAGATAGAACATTGCTTGTACAATATTTATATAAGCCTATATTACCTATATCATGTGATGGACCCCAAAGATCCCAACCCATGAAGTTCCAATGTGGGGTTACACTGAAATTCACATAAATAAATCATTATTCAATAAAAAAATCACCAAGAAAGCCACAAATGCAGGTCTCGAAGAAAACCACTTATTATGTATTAACTCAAAATTCTAAATTGGCTAAAAAATAATGAAAAAAAAAACAGTTGCATAGTCAAAGTGATTAACAGTCTGGGACCTAAATAGGAAAGATTAACAAAAAGATAGCCAAGAAACGAAGCAAAATCCACACTCTAATCATTTAGTAGAAATAATCATGCTATAACACAAAATTAAAGCCCAACAGTTAAAGAAAAAAATATAGCAAATACTAACCAGAATCATAAACCAGAGAAAGTTCAAGAAGGAAAAAAATTATAAAAAGAAACAAAAACTTAAAAATGGCTTATACTAGACGCCATTAGTAATTAACTGCAGAAACTACCGACTCCTATAAATTTAATGATGCATTAATACAGCCATTAAATGCTTTGAACTCTAATAAATAACCAATAATACAATCAAACTAAAAATAATTAATAATAAAAAAAAAAACACAAATGATTTAAAAAGAAAAACTCCAGCAGTGCACTTTTAAATAAAAACCCATTTGGAAAATGTGCAAGAAATCGCAAGGAAGTAGAGAATGCATAGCTTTTTATTTTTCTCGGAAACCAAACGGATGAAAGAAGATGACAGAGGAAATGAGATGAAATTTAAAAAAAATAAACACCTGTGGTATGTAATATTGAAGTTAAACGAGTTAATCGAGAATGCTTAACACTGACAAATTATTAAATATTTTAGGGGTTTTCAAGATCTCGAGATTAGTGAGTGATCAGTAAGACAGAGAGCAAAACGAAAAGTCTGCTCATGAGAGAGACAACAGAGAGCAAGGGAGAGACAAAAACGTGAAAATGGCAAATATAATGTCTTGAAAGGGTAGAATAGGAATTAGATTGTCTTATAGTGTCGGAGAAAGCGATGGGGGAATTTGTGTCCGTTGATTTTCGCTTACGGTGGGCCCACTAAAAATGTGAATTAAAGTCCTGTAACTTTGATCTTGTTACGATATGCATCCTGTGTCCAATTTTTTGCCATTGATTTGAAACTTCTTTTTATTTTTATGGAACATTGATTTTACTTAAAAATCAACAATGCATCCTTCTGTATAATTTTAAATATTTTAATAAGAACAATTGACTCAAACTTCAACTAAAATTCAACATATATTGTTTTTTTAATTATTTCAATTATTATATAAATTTGTTATTATTATTTTACTATTTTTATCTTCCATTATGATTTATCATTATCATTTTGTCTTTTCAACTACCATTATTTTACAATTAAAATAACTATAATTTTATCGGTGTTTCATGATCTTCACTCGTTTTTTCTTTAATCAAAAAGTATTTTTTTTTTTATAAAAACATCTTATTGGAAAGGTTTACATGTACAATATATTTTATTTTTTGATATTAAAAATATCTTTTATTTATAAAATATATTATGAAAAATATACCTAAAATGATATTATTTTTTTATAAAAAGTAAAAATAAAATTGATTTTTTTATTTAATTCTCTTTTTCTCCTTAGTCACCAAAGCTTTGAATTCAAGCTAGACCATGAAAACTAATTTTCATTAATTCCTTAGTTTTAGAATAAATCAGTTATTTAAGACCAATATTCTAAATACGAATTTGATTTTCATGAATAAAAGCTGATTGTTGATTTAAGAATATCACCTACTTCTAAATCGAAAAATAGTAAAGATAAATAATTGGACCAATATGAGCTAAAACCACTTGCATTACCACAATTGGATTTCAATCCATATTCTTATAGTACGAGGATCAATTTGATGAAGACAGTAGAATACAGGAATAAAAACATAGTTGTGTTCACAGGTGATGGGGCCTAACATAAGCTGACGTCAATTCCATTGTTGACTCCTTTTGACTCACTACACTCCACATGGCAGGATTTTGAGCCGTCCATTTGTTGACTCTTTATAAATGATGAAACGGAAGGTTGAGAGTATCGCTAACTGAGCATATGGGGGCCCACTGTAGTTGAAAAGTAGTGACAGTATTCCAGGTAGTATTTTATTACCTTGTAACCGCCAATTTGATGGACCCCGCTTAAGCTGGTGGTCTTAAGATCAGAGGGTAGGCGTGGGGTCTGCTTCTTTTGTTTATTATTGCTGTGAATTCTCGGACCAGTATGTTGAGCAATTCTAGCAAGTTGTACGTACTAGGTCGCGGATATGATACAATAAAATTATTTTAAAATTTTTTAATTATAATATTATATTTAATTATTTTTTATAATTTTTTTTATTAAAAATATATAATCATTCTTCTTTATGGATTGATTTTAAAATTAAAAATTATAATAATTTTAATTAAAATATTAATCAAGAATTGAAAAAAAAACTTTAAAAATACAATTTTCACACTATTATATTAAAAAAAATTATAATTAATGAAAAGACTTTTACAAAAGTTAACAAATGAAAAAAATTCTTATTTAATGTTGATAAAAAGATTAATTTTTGAAATTATCCGCGCAATGCTACGGATAAATAGAACAAAATCATTTCAAAATGTTAAAATTTTTTCATTGATTTTTATTTAATTATTGCTATTTTTTTGTGTTTTTCATAAAATTTCTGCTTAAAAAAAACATAATTTATTCTTCTTTATTCAGGGATTCTTAAATAAAAAATTATAATAATTTAAAATTGAAATATGAATTAAGAATTCAAAAATAAATACTTTAAAATTGTATATTTTTTTAATAAGAATATATCTAAAAAATAAAGTTACAATTAATATATAGATTTGTATAAAAACTAACCAATGAAAAAATAAAAATTTATTGTTATTTAATGTTGCTGAGAATATTTTTTTCTTCGTGTATATGCATTTGATGTATATATATTTATTTACAAAATATTCAATAAAATTAGCATTAAAAAAGTATTTAAATAATTGGTTGGATCCTTTAAAAAATTACTTTGATTATTTTATTTCAAATAAATTTCATAAAAAATGATAAATTCAAATAATGAAATTTAAATAATAAGAGTAATTTTATAAGTCGAAGTATATGTTAATTTTAAAATATAAAAATATATATCATATAATCATCGGTTTGTATGGAAAAGAGTTACGATTATTTTTCAAAATTTTAACACCTAATTAAATTTAAAAAGAACATAAATTGATTGAAAAAAAGTAAAAAATAATAATTTTTCAAATTTTTAATACCCAATTAAATAAAAAAGAGCATAAATTGATAGAAGAAAATAAATAAAAATACCAAAGAAAAAAAAGACATGTGCGGTAAAATAAATTGAAAATGACAAAAAACACTATTCAAATAAACGAGTGATTTCGAGTGTACGAAACGGAAAAAAATAAAATAAAATTGGTCACACCAAAAGAAATGGAAAGTTATTGTTCATTCAACTGTTCAAATGAACAATAAACTCTCCACTTCTTTTAGTGTTTAGTAGAATTTTCTTTTTTATGAGAAAGATATTTTTGGACCGTTCAATTAAATTATTTTTTTCAAATATTTTTAATTTTTATATTAATTTGATACATTTAAATGACTTTAATAAAAATATGTAAAGCTAGCAAAAATTTTCACTTGTATCGAATAACATAAGAGAATGTCAAACTAAAATCAATATGAAATGAAGATTTCTAATGAGCGACGACGAGACTTGGTCAAATTTAAAAATGATAGAGACCTTTTTTTGGATTGATAAATGTAATTGAAAAGCCAAAAACATATTAAAGACTACGGATATTGTGAGCCAAGAGAAGGAAAGGATTGAGCTGCATCTTGAAAGTAATATGTCTAACTAGATTCTCGATAATTGAACTTTTCTTGATGAATCTAATCGACGAGCTTTCTCAAGCAAATTATATAGACATCATATCTTATTTTCAATAACCCACTTCGATTGAAGTAGATTACGTTTTAATTTTCGTATTTGGCTCAACTTTGATGTAGCAAACTCTTTAAGAGAATGGAGCTTTCTTCATTTAGAAAAAAGATTAAGCAAAAAATCAAACATATCCTAAAAGTTGGATTGGATATGGAGTAGTCTTATAAGAGGTGCCAAAAAAATGTTCTTTTCTTTTCAATCTTTCATCAACGAGATTGCTTGTGGTAGGTTTAAAAATGTGATTATTCATACCGGTAACCTTTTGGATGATTTCAAACTCAAGAAGAATTCATTTTTTAACCTATTTAAGAGTAACCATGTTGTAAGCCATCTCCCTCTACACGTGGAAAAGCTAAAGATTTAGCTTGGTAGATTGTCGCTATCTCAAATTACATTTGAACTCTTTTATCACCCTTCTCGAAACATCATAACTAAGTTGTCTTAGTTAAAGTTTTGAACATGTTTGACTTACCCGGTGCTTCCAATAAAGTAGGATGATCCTACATCCGAGTTCTAGCCATTATATGAATGAGTTGGCTCTATTTAAGTCTCGAAAAGGTATCTTCTTGCCTAATAAATCTTATTAGAATCACTAAGACCGACTACAACAACATTAGCAATCGTAAAAATCATCAATTACCCATTACCGATGATAGTTAACAAGAGGGCTTAAGATTTCTTGAGTGTTTACTAGGAGCAAAACCCATCGAGGCATAACAACTACCATCCTAGATCCCGAGTTAAAATCATACAAATGCGAGTGATGTATATAGGGAACGACTTCATATCTAGTCTTAAAATTAAAACTAAGAAACTATAATTAAAAGGCTATGAGGGGAGATAAAGCACAAACAACATATTTATAATACACATGATAAAAAAAAAAGCAATTAAAAGTAAATATTCACTCAAGAATTATTTATATAGTCATAAAAACATAATTATACAATAAAAAATTCTTTAACACACGTTCAAAGCTAGATCCTTGTATGATAATTTTCTAATAGAGTAGCCAAACTATTGATAGGGGCCTACGGAGTAG